GTTCCGAAGAAATCCACATTATCTACTACAATATATTATAACATGGAAAAGGTTCTAAACATTGAGAATAGGAGAAGCGAACACTCAAGCAGTCTCGCTCCCTTTCTCTTCTCCTTTCTGACCACCTCTCAAGATTAATAAACTCATCAAATCACGACAAAAAAAAAGAATGTTAAGAACTATTTCAACTCATCTGTTGAATCGTAACTTATATCATCACTCAACTCAGCATAATGCGAAATGAAAAAAGAACCTTAAGAGTTGTTTCTTAAGCTTACAAGTTCACTATTAACTTCCAATAAATTGCTTCTCAAAGCATTTTATTTATTTATTTTAAGGAAGCATTTGAAGCTGAAATCCCAAAGATATGTGTTTGGATGTGACTCTTTAAGCTCTCTAAGCAAAAACGTAAGCCTCATAAATTAGATAAGAGCACGCCCCAAGTTCATTAAAAGCCGCAAATGATCCTTATTTTGAAAACTTAAGTACCTATTCGCCAAGGTGATGCGGAGACATCGATTTTGGGTTGACTACGCAAGTAAAAATATACCGGAACGAATTCTCGATCAATTTCAGCACAACTTCGAGTATGTTTATCAGACAAATGACGCTTGTAAAAAAATAAAATATCCACTATAAACTGAAGTGCTTTCTAACAAGATTAAGTTTAGATGAATACACGTGGTTATTATAACTTATACATGACTTCACCAGTGATTGTCGTCAAAAAATTTCCTTGGAAGGGGTAAGGGAGAATCGATTAAAAAGAGGCGTGGCAAAACAGGGCTAATCCACGCCTCGTGATCGATCAACTAGACTTTTACGTCTTTTATTGAAGGATTGTATAGGAAAACCTCCCTTTTAGAAAAAAAGAAAAGTAGATTACCTTCTTACTTTACTTAATATTGAGGAAAAGTAATGTAGTGAGTAATTGCTAAGGATAAACATATCTCCCTAATTGTCAAAGAAAAGTACAACAAGTATGACTTACGATTATGTCATGATTG